GTTAACTTTTGGGGCTTGGTTAACTAAAGGAAAACCTTTAGGTACTGGGAGCCAAGAGATTCCTGTTTTTAGCAGCAGCCTTCTGGAGCTGACAAAATGTTCAAACCTCTACCAGCAGAAAACTTTACCCAAGTCCAATGATCTTTCCTAAACGTGTTTCAAAAGGCACCGACTGCACAGAAGTGCCAGGCTTGCACAAATCGACCTCATCAGTATGCACCTTGTTTTGCCCCATGACACTCAGCAGCTGTGGTTAATTAGTCCTTGATAATGAATTGCCCATCACGACTGCACGAAGCTGGTAGGTGAGCGATTCCTAACTGCGCTTTGGAATCAGTATGCAAAAAGCACAAACACTAAAGAATAAAGTTAACAATCTGTTTACCCCTTCCCTCACTCTTCCAAAGCTGCTACCAGCCAAACTCTCAGGGAAAAGAAATAATCTATTTCCAGGGTTCAGTAGAGAGAAACCATTTGGACTGCTCTCAATTTTCGTATCTTTGCCACCAGTGCTTTGTGTTATTTCTCTCAACTCATTCAAGTTAGGAGATGAAGCCTGTTCTTTTGGCTAATAGCATTTAAAGCCTCTCTCTGGAGATAATTAGCCCTCCCTCCCCCATCCCATCCTCAGCAGAAAGAGCAGAGAGTCACCAATAAACAAAGAAATTCAGGCAGTGACAACCAGGGTGTAGCTGAGACCAAAGCTGCCTCTCAACTCCCTATCTCAGCACAGCTGAGAATCAAAAACAAGTGACACCGCAGGCGATAGAACAAACAACACAAGAATTTTCAGATTAAGGGCTTCATCATTTTGAAATCAGGAAAACAGCAACAAACAACACAAGAATTTTCACATTAAGGGCTTCATCATTTTGAAATCAGGAAAACAGCAACTCCACATCTACAAGAAGCAAAACACCAATGTGTAATCGCTGGATGCTCTGCCTGGTCACCGTCCAACCTGGTCAGACCGTCCTGAGTCATTCAAAATCAGCAGATAAGAGCAAGAATTGGGAAAGCTGCAGCCTTTTACCTCTGGTTCCAGGGCTGTCACCCAGCCATTGGCAAATCACAACAACCTCCACGCTGTATCTTCTACTGAGATACAGTAAATCCTCTGGGCAGAGGGAAAATTAAGGGCAGTCACGGATAGAAAAGCGCCTCTGCCGAAGACTGACAAACTTCTGGGTGTCTGTGTGCCAACTCCTCCCATGGAATCTGCCCTTGGATCCAGGGGCACAGTTTGGAAGGAGTTAACTCCAGCCATGGGGATGAGCAGCCAAGCTGGCTGCTGCATTCCTTGCCTAACCATGACCCCACTGTGCAGGGAAGAACTGGGAATAGTTATCACCACAGCGCTGACACGTCAGCAACAGCAACTAATTAACTGATAAAAATAGATCTCTGAAAGGGCTTTTTTCCCCTCAACACAAAGCCGAGGCCCAATGCTGCCACAGTTCCATATCCATTACTTTTCCACAGGCTCCAAACTTGCCAGCAAAAAATTAAAGCATTCTCACACTCAGAAAAAATAAACCCACATAGCACTTGTAAGCAGAAAATCACTGCTAAGGAGAATTAGGGAACTTATGAATGACCTGGAGCATCTCCACTCCCACCTTAATGGATGCAGGAGCAAGATGATGTCTTTGCCCCCAACAGCCCTATCAGCTTCCCTGCAGCCCAGAGTTCCAGTTTTGCCTAAAAAAATTACATGTTTTGACGTAATCCAAATGATCCCAAGGATATTTGCAGCTTTCTTCACTCATGGTATCACTGAGACCAGCCAGAAAAACCCAGTTCCAAGCCCCCCTCCCCACACTCAGACATGCATTTTGTACAGCTTGTAACTAAGTATTCATCACCAGCTAATAAACCTGCAGGAACCAGAGTCTCAGCAATTTTTAATACACAGAATGCTCCAACACATGCCAAACACAATGAAATTTGATTAAAATAGAAGCCATTTGTTTAAATACAAATGATTTGGCTCTCAAAACTGTTATCAAATTGAACTGGAAATCAAATTAGCCAGTGCCTGAATGAAGTAGAAGGCTGTATAACCACTGACCCAGCAGCATGAAAGGAAGGATGCAATCACATTCCCCTTGTTTGTGGCACTGCCCCATGCTCCCAACAGGACTCCCTCTCCATCTCCCAGGGCCCGAGTATGCTCTGTGCCTCAGATATGGCTCATTCCTTGGTAATCCAGAAAGAAAATGCTCCTTGCAAAACCACTCTGATACATTACCAGATAACAGAGTATCGCTGTGAAAGGACACACTGACACCTTTGAAACCACCTTGACTTGGGACAGAACAGCGCAGTCATTCCCAGCACACTTGGCAAGAACAGGTTTAAACCTGCTCTGAATGAGAAAGGGGTTTTGTTGCCATTACTGTCCAGGTATTCAGCTTCAGTTGGTGTAACTGTGACAGCCCCATCCCTCACAACTGGCCTCATTTTGGCTCTATTTTGCCCCTTTCTGCAGTCTTCACAAAAAGGAATTAAAACCATGTAAATTGATGATTTTAGGTGTTGCCTACTCTTAAAAGCAGTTTGGATACATTTAAAGGTCTGTTTGAAGAGCATCAGGCTCTCCTGAGGAAATCGCAGCAGGGAGAGGAATCCAATTACACTCCCTTGCATCCTCTGTAGCACATCAAACGAACGCAGCTGAACATTCTTTACCCACCAAGAGTGGGCTGTGGAAACTTCATCAGTCCCCTTCCCTGATTCTGCACCGGACTTGCTTTTGAAAAACAGGAACATCACAAAACTCCAACTGTAGCACTCACTCCTGTACAATTCCAGCTTTCTTTAAGCCGTTACATGGAGAAGGCTCCTGGGAAATCTCACTACACCCTTCCAATACTTGAAAGAAGATTATAAAAAGAAGGAGAGTGACTTTTTATACAGGCAGAAAGTGACAGGACAAGTGGAACAGTTTTAAACTCAACAAGGAGACTTAGATGAATATTGGGAAGGAATTCCTCCCTGTAAGGGTGAGGAGGCCCTGGCACAGGGTGCCCAGAGCAGCTGTGGCTGCCCCTGAATCCCGGGCAGTGCCCAAGGCCAGGCTGGGCAGGGCTTGGAGCAGCCTGGGACAGGGGAAGGTGTCCCTGCCTTGGTACAAAAGCAGCTTTAAGGTCGCTTCAAATTCAAGTAATTCTGGGATTCCTTGGCTCCCACCTCTTTCTAGGCTTGCAGAAGCAGCATTTAAACATCCTAAAGCTTAAAGAGCTTTATCGTTTATTTCAGCCTCAGCTGAGCACCTTCTCACATCATTTACTTTTTCTGCAGTATTTCATTGCCAGAGAAGGGCACCAAGCCCTTGCCTACCTTCACCTGGACAAACACAACCCAATGCAAAGCACAGAGGTAAATAATTCATCTGCGTGCAAACAGAGGGAAAGAACAATTAAGCCAGAAAGCACAACGGGGACGTTTCAGATTTCAGTCAACATTAAGGCAGGAGAGATCAAACAAAGAAATACCAACGGGGCTGCCTCAGAGGGAACTTCGGGGAAGCTGGAAACACTCACGGCAAGGCACGGGAGGGCAGCAGGACTAAAACCCGGGTTTTACCGGAGTCCCAGCCCAAGCCGGCCAGGCTTTCCGAATCGCCCTTCGGAGGACAGCGGCGAACGGGACGGGAGCTCCGTCTGGTGCTCAGACCGGCGTGCGGGGGGTGCTGACCCGCCAGCCGAGCCCCGCCGAGCCGCTCCGCCGGGACGGCCCCGCCGCGCTCCCCGCACGGCCCCGGCCCTCCGCGGCATCCCCGGTGCCCCGCGTCCCCTCCGTGACCGCGCCTCTCCTCCCGCCCCGAAGCGCTGCCCCGGGCCGGGGGCTCGCCAGGGCCGGCCGGGCCGGGGCTCTCCGGGCCGTCCTTCCCCGCCGTGCGGCGCTCCCGGGCCCCCGCCCGCCCTCACCTGCCGCCGCCGCCGCCGCCGCTGCCGCGCCGCCGGAAGCGCGCGCGGGGCATGCCGGGAGTTGTAGTGCGGCCGGCGCGGACACGCCCCGGGCCGAGGACACGCCCCGGGCGGAGGACACGCCCCCCGGAATGGCGGGTTTGGGGTCGGGGGGATTTGGGGTCAGGGGGGATTTGGGGTCAGGGGGCATTTGGGGTCACGGGGGATTTGGGGTCAGGGGGGATTTGGGGTCAGGGGGGATTTGGGGTCGGGGGGATTTGGGGTCGGGGGGGATTTGGGGTCGGGGAGATTTGGGGTCAGGGGGGATTTGGGGTCGGGGGGATTAGGGGTCAGGGGGGATTTGGGGTCGGGGGGATTTGGGGTCAGGGGGGATTTGGGGTCAGGGGGATTTGGGGTCGGGGGGATTTGGGGTCAGGGGGGATTTGGGGTCGGGGGGGTTTGGGGTCAGGGGGGATTTGGGGTCAGGGGGTATTTGGGGTCAGGGGGATTTGGGGTCAGGGGGGATTTGGGGTCACGGGGGATTTGGGGTCAGGGGGGATTTGGGGTCACGGGGGATTTGGGGTCACGGGGGATTTGGGGTCAGGGGGGATTTGGGGTTACGGGGGATTTGGGGTCAGGGGGGATTTGGGGTCGGGGGGATTTGGGGTCAGGGGGGATTTGGGGTCAGGGGGGATTTGGGGTCGGGGGGATTAGGGGTCAGGGGGGATTTGGGGTCGGGGGGATTTGGGGTCAGGGGGGATTTGGGGTCAGGGGGGATTTGGGGTCGGGGGGATTTGGGGTCAGGGGGGATTTGGGGTCAGGGGGTATTTGGGGTCAGGGGGATTTGGGGTCAGGGGGGATTTGGGGTCACGGGGGATTTGGGGTCAGGGGGGATTTGGGGTCACGGGGGATTTGGGGTCACGGGGGATTTGGGGTCAGGGGGGATTTGGGGTTACGGGGGATTTGGGGTCAGGGGGGATTTGGGGTCGGGGGGATTTGGGGTCAGGGGGGATTTGGGGTCAGGGGGGATTTGGGGTCAGGGGGGATTTGGGGTCGGGGGGATTTGGGATCGGGGGCGGCGGAGGGTACGCAGGGAGAGCCCGGGTCCGTCCGGGGCTCTGTGACCATCCATTTCCAGCCGTGCAGCGGATCCAGGTGTGCCCGCATCCCTCGGGAACGAGCTGTCCGCACTCCGGCATTTCTCACCCCCAGCCCCGCATGAACCCCGGCACAGCGAGGGCAGCTCAGCCCCAGGAACGCCGACTTTGCAGAGCTGTTTGGGCTCCACCAGTCTTAAAATTAGCACAGATTATTATTATTACTACTACTACTACCACTACTATTATTTCCTGTTGCTTTGATGTGAGTTAAGCACCACTAACACATTACATTTTTAAATTGAGGGCAATTGTAGCGAAAAAAAATAGCATCTATTGGTATCATAACTATGGGCTACAGGTAGGGATATTATTGACACACCTGCCCTGCAAGGCAACAGTGAAAGCTGCGGATAAATTATAGGCATGTACACAAACTGCAGGCTTTAGTTATGCACTGGATGAGGAGTTTATTGGTTTATAATTGTAGCCAACTGAAAAAACAAAGGGGGTTAAAGTGATGCAATGAGTCGGTTTATGAGCTAAAGGAGACCCAAGGGCTGGCTCAGCTGCCCACACGTTGTTCTCTGGTGCTGCAGGGTGACACCCTGAAATGCAGCACTTCCTGGGGGCTCTGCTGTTATCTCCACCAGGAACTTTGGCACAACCAGCAAAGCCCAGGGAGCCCTGTCCTTCTGCCTCAGTTTCCCAAGAAAAGCTGCCCTCAAACCTCTTTCCCCCAAAACGGAGACTCTGCCCTACGAGTCCCCAGCAAACCCGCTCCAAGCCTCCCCTCCAGCCCCCTGCCCCACATGCCTGCTCAGAGAGGGGCAGCACGGCAGCTCCTCAGTCCTGAGCAGCCCCAGCGCCTGGATCTGGCTCCTCAGGGAAGCACCTTCCAGGCAGAGCTGGCCGCTCCCCAGGGATCTTATCAGCAGCTTCCAGGGGCTCCTGCCCACACCCTGATAAGTGCTGGGCTCCACATCATGGGCTTGGGGTGTCCTGCTCTGCCCCCCAGCACCACTGCAGCTCAGCTCCGTGCCAGCAGTGGGTCAGAGCATCCCACAGCACACACACACGGTGAGGTCAATGTCATGGCTAACTCCTCCTGCCTTCCCAGGAAGGTGCTACAGCCGGGAAAGACTGGAGACAGTCACCACAAGGAGTTTACCGAAGTCAAACCCATCTCCCTCGGGCAAATGGGGAGTGCTCAGACCTCCCACATCCTCCCTTGGACACCTCAGGGATGCACCCGGGTACTCCCAGGGCAGCAAGACCCTGCATTCCCTATCTGCCACACAGGAACAGGCCCTGGGCTGACCAAAGGAAAAGTGAAAAAGGAAAAAGAATTAAAAAATAATTTTATTTTTTCAAACAAGATTAGTTACAGAGGCATTTCCATGCCTAGTCAGGAGTTAATATATCAAAAAAACAGAAATAACTTAACTGGAGCTATCATTCAACAGCCAAACCAAGGGTGGCGATGCTGCTGGCCCTGGATCCTGCTCCCCAACAGGCACCTCCAAGTGCTGCTGGGAGCGCTCTGGCATATCTGGATAAAGCCATGGCCACCCCATCCCACCCTCACAGCAGGAGAGGGGCTGAGGGAGCCTCATGCCCCAGCATGGCTCCCCCCTCAGCCCCTGAAGCTGAGGCAGTGGAGATGTGCCAGTGGTTGGAAAACAATGCAAAAAGGTGTAAAACACACTCAGGTATTCCTACCCTGTCCCTGCTCCTGCTCTGGCACTTAGGTTAAAGGCACTTCACATCCCAAAGTGCTGGGGATGAGGCAGAAAGGTGGGGAGGGGGTGCCTGGGCAGCACCCCCTCCAGCAGCTACGTCTCCCAGCACAGCAGGACCCAAAAAGCAGGGATGAAGCCCATGACATCCTCTGGCCATCTCTTCGGGGGCAGTCTTGGTGCCAGCACGTGCCACAGGGGTGTGACACCAGCACTGCACCCACAGACATCCCAGTTTGGCTTCACTTCAACCCCGAAAAGGCACAGAGCAGTAGAGCCCGCGCAGCTCCCTGAAGCCCAGGGCAGCACTTCGGGCTCTTCCCAGCACCCACAGCCTCGTGGGGCTCCTCTTTCCTGGGAGACAGCGCAGGGAAGCTCCCACTTCACTTGCACAGCTGTGAGCCCGTGAAGCAGGGAGGCAATACTCCAGGTGAAGTGTCAGGGTACCCGCTGTGCCCTCCCTGCACAGCCGGGCAGGAGGAGGAGGAGGAGGGAGCAGGGCTCAGGTCATGTAGCGGGTGACGGCCCTGAGGGCGTAGAGCAGAGCCGCCTGCATGCGCGCCTCCAGCAGGAGCAGGTTGATGTGTACCTGTGGCGAGAGCGGCGTCAGGGCACCGGGTCAGCGCCCCGAGCACCCTGCCGGGGGGAGGGACGGGGCAGCACCTTCTCAGAGTGCTTGAAGTGCCTCCAGAACTGTGCGTAGATCTGCTTGGTCGTCCTCTCCGGGTAGCAAGCCACTGTCTTGATGTAGACCTTTAAGTTGCGCTCCAGGAGCTGGTTCACCTCCCCGTAGTCGTAGTCATCGTAGCTGCAGGGAGGAGGGTGTGTTATTCCAGACACAAGCCTTGTGCATTCATACAATCCCACAATGGTTTGGGTGGGAAGGACCTTAAAGCCCACCCAGTCCCACCCCTGCCACGGGTGGTGACACCTTCCACCATCCCAGGTAGCTCCAAGCCCCTTCCAACCTGGCCTCGGGCACTTCCAAGGGATCAGGATTCCAGCACCTCTTTGGGCAAAGTCCGCCAGAGCCTCACCGCCCTCACTGTAACTTTTTACTAAATTCTCCTTTCCCAGGGCTGTTCTGAAGCCCAGCCAAGTGCACAGAGCAGCATCACTTTGCCTTGGGGAAGCAGCAGCAGCAGCAGCAGCAGCAGCAGCAGCCGAGCAGGAGCGCGTGGCTGGAGCTGCGGCTGGGCTCTCCCCGAGGCAGAGCGGGAAGCCCGGCCCGTTCCCGGGAATACCGGATGCCGAAGACGCAGTGCACGTAGTTCCAGATGGCGCGGCGCAGCACGGAGGTGTCCACGCCGCAGTGCATGGCGATGGTGTTGTAGGTCAGGTTGTAAACCACCTGGAACTTCTCATCCAGGAGCTGCCCCACCTCGGGGTACAGGCGGTTGATCAGCGAGTAGCCGTGGTCCTCCCAGGTGTAGTCCTGAAGGAGAAGGGATGCTAGGGCAGGGGTTTGGAGGGGAAAGGTGGGGTCCCTCTGTCCTGCTTTCAGGAAGGGTACAGTTAATTTCTTCTCAGTTGCTGTTCCAGTGCTGTATTTGGATTTAGACTAACAAGGGTGTTGGTAACACACTGATGGTCTGGGTTTTTTGCTAACCTGGGTTTATCCTGAGTCAAGGATTTTATTCCTCTTGTTTCAGGCTCTGCCAATGGGACAGGTGACCTGAACTGACCACGGGGATATTCCACACCAGAGAACGTCATGCCCAGTTTATAAACTGGAGGGAGTTACCCAGAAGGGCCCAATCTGAGTTTGGGAAGGGGGATCTGGCATCAGTCAGCAGGTGCTGAGCAATTGCATTGTGCATGACTTGTTTTTTCCCTTTTCATTGTCATTATTTACCATTATCATTGTATTTTACTTTAATTATTAAACCTGTATCTCAACATACAAGTTTTATTTTGATTTTCCTCCCTGAGTTGGGGGCAAGAAAGTGTGGGCTGAGTGAGTGTCATGTTTCATCTGCAGCTGGCCTTAAACCACAACACCCCCAAAGCCAGGGACAAGGTGGGGTCCCCACTAAGCTGACACCTCCCCCCAGTTCTCAGCACCTGGCTGCTCACTCCAGCCCTTCTTCCACTGTCCACAATCCTGGGAACAACAGGCCTGAGCCACGGCTGACACCCACCTGTGCACGGAAGGTGGGAGGGGCCTGCTCCCCCCTCCGAGTGAAGTCCTTGTATCCGAATTCAGGGTCCTCCAGGAAGCAGCGGATGTTGGACTGCAGGGAGGGATCCAAAATATCTACAAGGCACCAAGGCAGTGGCCATGAGCCCAGAAGGAGCCAGTGCTGCACTGGGGAGCTGATCCTGCTCTCCCTCAGGCAGATTCCAGTTCCTGTCCCCCTCCTTGGGCTCCCCTGGCCCACGGGGACCTCCTGCCCCCAGACAGCTGCCCCTGCGCCTCCTCACCTGAGGAAGGGACCAGCAAACTCTCTGTCTTCTCCAGCTCGAAGCGTGTCGCCATCTCCTCCTGTGTGACTCCTTCCTCCTCCAGCTGGTTTTCCTGCAGCAGCTTCATCCTTTCCATCAGCACCTGCACCTCCTGCATGGCATCTGTGGCCTGGGGAAGCACAGGCCAGGGTCAACCCTGCCCCTGGTTGACCAGAGGGGCCCCCAACCCCAGCTCTGCTGGCACCTGGGGGAACCCCTGGGCATCTCCCTCTGGCCGTGCCCAGATTCCAGCAACTCCCATGACCCATCCCCAGGCCCCCAAAGGGAGGAGGAGGAAGTCCTGTGGAGGATGTGGAGAGTACTGCATGGCTCTAAAGCATCAGCTGTTCCCAATAAAGGCCACAGATTCTCCGAAAGCTGAGCCCCTCTACTCTGGAAACAAGACTGGGAGAGCTGGGGGGCCTTCAGGGAGACCTTAGAGCCCCTTCCTGTGCCTAAAGGGGCTCCAGGAGAGCTGGAGAAGGACTTGGAACAAGAGTCTGGAGGGACAGGACAAGGGGGAATGGTTTCCCACTGCCAGAAGGCAGGGACAGATGGGATATTGGGAAAGAATCCTTCCCTGTGATGGTGGGCAGGTCCTGGCAGAGTTTACCCAGAGAAATTGAGGCTGCCCATCCCCAAAAGTGTAAAGGGCCAGACTGGACAGGGTTTGGAGCAGCCTGGTCTGGTGGAAGGTGTCCCTGCCCATGGCAGGGGATGGAGCAAGACAGGCTTTAAGGTCCCTTCCAATCCAAGCCAATTTGTGATTCCCAGGGGCAGCCCCATAGAGCACCCCAGGGCACATTCACACCCCTGCAAGGCAAAGCCCCTCTTACCCCAGAGCCCCCCATGGTGTCACCAGAGGCAGGGCTGCTGTTGCTGTGGGGTGAGGGGGCCCAGCAGCTGCTCCCCACGTCCTGCTCCTCCTCGGGCTTGATGCCACAGCCGAAGACAAAGGATGCGAGCGAGTGGTAGTGGGTGAGGAGCACCAGCGCCTGCACCAGCTCTGCCAGTGACCAGCTGTCCTGCCCCGGCTTCAGCAGAGCCTGCGACACACAGCAGGGCTTGTAGAGATCTCCCAGGCCTCAGCTGCAGCCCACCACAGCCCAGTGCTGGGGCAAGCCAAGGGCAGGACACAGGAGTGTTTGGGAAGTGCCTCGCCCATAGACCCGTCAGGGGCCAGGCACCCCTTCCCATCCCACTGACTCCCTCAGCCCTGAAAGGGTTAAACCCTGGGGGCTGTGCCCACAGGAGGTGCCCCTGGGGTCAGTGTGTTTTTGGGGGCATCTGTGCTGGCAGCATCAGCTCTCACCTCGATGTGCTCCTTGGTGATGAGCCAGGGCCGGTGCGCCAGCAGCTTGTTGACCTCATTGAGGTTCCGGAGTTTTTGGGGGGCGCAGTGCAGCCCCTGCAGCCATGCAGGGTTGCCCCCCACCTGCAGGAACTCCCCCATGTGCAGCCCCACCAGGTAGGAGCAGCGGTGCCGGGCTGCTGCCTGCGGGGAGAAGCAGCGGTCAGCCCCCAGCCCTGGCTGCTGGCCCCCACCTGCTGCAAGCCAAGGCAGGGAGCCCCCACGTCCCACATCACTCCTGGGAGATTTTCCCTGGGGATTTATCCAGATTTCCCCCTCTCTATCAGGGCCAGTCCCCAGGGGTCCTGGAGGGAGGGTGTTGGGGTACCCTGGGTGGGCACCAACCCCAAAGGGGGTTCTAAGCTTTTGGGACGTCAGATCAGAGAGGGGCCCAACTGTGGGGTCCCAAATGCCTCCTGAGCAGCAGTGCTGGGACCCCTCACAGACCCCTGTGTCCCCACGCCCCCAGGGCCCGCTGCTCACCATGATGGCGATGTAGTGGCGCTTGTGGTAGGGCAGGGGCCCGTCCATGCGCAGCAGGAGGTACTGGGTCTTCCAGAAGCTGCTGAGGTACTGGGGGTGCAGCCCCATGACCAGGGCGACGTGGTCCACCCTACCTGCTGGGACGAAGGCCTCGAGGAGCTGGTGCAGGCTGCTCTCCCCTCCTTCCTGCGGGACCTGCAGAATGAGGAGGGGAGGGAAGTGAAGGGCTGCGAGCTGCAGGCCCCCACTCTTCCCAACATCCCCTAACCTCAGCGGAGACCCCCCCAAGAAGCAGGACCCGGGAACCCCAGAGCACCAAGGCTGGATCCTCACCCCACGGGAAGTGCCCCGCCTGCGGAACGGGCACCGCCGCTGGCCCGAGTCCCCGCTCCTGGCCCCGGGGGGCAGAGGCTGCTTGGGGGGCTCCATGGCAGAGCCCACGCAGCCCGTCCAGCTGTGGGTTGGGCTGTTTGTTTGGGCTCTGGAGCGCAGGGGAGGAGATGGGCTCGGCCCCCAGCGCAGTGACGAAACCCGGCGCTATCTCTGCCTGAGGAGGAACATCTGGAAGAGTGAATGTGGGTGCTGAGATAGGGCTCAGGTGCCCTGGGGATTTCAGGGCAGAATGCTGGGGGGTGGGCAGGGCAAGGGTGTGGGTCTTTGCGTCGCAGGGGAAACACAGATGTGTGTGCCCGAGTGGGGAAACTGAGGCACAGGCAGGGCAAGCAAACACCAGGGTGAAATACAGCTGTTCCCCTAACCTCCAGAACGACCCCCCCAACAATGCCACAAGGATCCGCTTGGGGTGGGTGACCCCCCCCATCCTCAGCATCCCACCCCCACCGGGAGTAGGAACTGGGGGGGTGGGAATCCTTCCTGTCACCCCAGCCTAGGGTGGGGTGGCAGTGGGAAACTAAACCCCCACCCGAGCCAATCCTCACCGCTTTACCTCTCCCAGGGGAATGAAGGCGCTGGGGCCCCTCGCCAGCTCCCGGACAGCCTCGATTCCTCTTTCCTAGGAAGGAAGGCACAGCCGGGAGTCACCGAGCCGGGAACATCCCCGTGGGCGTCAGCGGAAGGGGTGACTCAGGAGGACACCGGCACGGCCACGGGGCCGTGTCCCGCACACCCTCCGCGTCAGGCAGCGCCTGATGAAACCCGCCGGGGAAGTTGCTCCTCTCCCGGACGCGGGTGACACGCCGGGACGCCGCTCCCGAGCCGCGCTCACCACCGCCAGGAAAGCAGGAGCGCCGGGATAACGGGATGCGGGGATCCCGCAGCAGGGATCAGCAGCAGCACAGCTGCTTACGGCCTCCTCGGGGGTCCCACTGAGCCCTCCCCGGGCATGAAACCCCACTGAACATGACGATTTCCCTCACTCGCGGGGGCTGCCCCCGCTCCAAGCACGGGGCTCAGAGCCTTTCTGCTCCACACTCCCCAGGGCTGGAAGTGGGCAGCTGCACTCCCACAGCACCCAGTGACTTACTGGGTTAACTGGACGAGCCGCTTCCACAGACCCACAGAGGGGGACATCAAATCCCTGTGGAGGCAGAAGGTGCAGCCTGGCACCCTCTCCTGAGCAGGAAAGGGGTGTGGGATGGCACGAAGTGACCAGAGCAGCTGTCAGTGCAGCCATGCGCTGCCCATGCGGCGGATGGCACCGCCACAGAGCCAGGGCACACCAGGAATGGCACACCAGGAATGGCACACCAGGAATGGCACACCAGGAATGGCACCGCCACAGAGCCAGGGCACACCAGGAATGGCACCGTGACAGAGCCAGGGCACACCAGGAATGGCACTGTGACAGAGCCAGGGCACACCAGGACTGGACCGCCACAGAGCCAGGGCACACCAGGAATGGCACACCAGGAATGGCACACCAGGAATGGCACCGTGACAGAGCCAGGGCACACCAGGAATGCCCTCAGCCAGTGGCTCCCATGGGATGCTCCTGCCTCGAGTCACCATGGGAGCACTAGGGTGACGGCAGGCTCAGGCTCCTGCTGCTGAGTTGGCTCCTTGGTTGTGTGCTGATGCAGGGTATGAGGAGAAAGAACTGTCTGCAGGTCCAAGAGACTCCCTGGGAGGGGACAGCAATGGGCCCTGGCAAAGGGAATCCACAGGACAGACGGGAGGACTTCCAGCCAGCTGGAATCCCAACCCACAGCAGGAACCAGGGTCCCAGCCCAGCCCCTGCTTTACAGTGTATCTCAGGGCGACCTTGGAAGGTGAATTTAATCATTCCTGCAAGAGGCTCCTCGTGTTTTGCTGCACTGAGGAATCCTTGGGGGTGCTGTGCTTAACCCTTGCTGTGCCACCAGCGGATAAAGTATCCCCCCTGCTTCCAGTGATGGGGAATCACAAAAACGGAATAGTTCAGGTTGGAAAAGGCCTCTGAGACCATAAAGTCCAGCTGTTACCCCAGGACTGCCAAAGCCACGACTGACCCATGACCCAAGTGCCACATCCACATGTCTTTTAAATCCCTCCAGGGATGAGGACTCCACTCCCTGGGCAGCCTGTGCCAGGCCTGGACCACCCTTTCAGTGAAAAATTTTCCCCTAATATCCAACCTCAACCTTCCCTGGTGTACTTGAGGCTGCTTCCTGTTGTCCTATCAAACTGAGGGGAAACTGAGGCACTGAGACGCCGTGACTGACACACAATCTGCCTCCAGCGGGCACAAGGCAGGCTGAATCTCGGCAGTGGGACCAGGGGAAGGAGATAATGCCCTGTGAGCAGGAAGATGGGTGTGCTGAGGAATAATCCCACTGGTGCCAGGGCTTAGGCAGGTTTTGGGAAACCATCCCTGTTAAGGTGAGGTTCATGCTGGGAACAGCAGCATGAGCCAAACTGGAGGACAGAGCCCTTGAAGCCCCCCAGCCTCCTGTCAGCCCCTCACCTACCCCGCAGGCACATCCCACTCCTTCGTGCCACGCCGTACCCGTAAGCTCTGCCGGGTTCCCACACATACCAGCTCCCGCAAGGCTGGGACACCCAAAGGTCCCGCCTTCCAGCCGCCCCAAGTTCCCCGCATGCCCGGGAACCTGCGGGAGCGCAGCCGCTCCTCGGCCCCGCCGGTTCCAGCCCGGCTGCGGGGAGGGCGCGCCGCGGGGCCGCTCCTGTCCCGGCCGCGTTCTGCACATGGCCCGGCGGCTCCGCTCCCTGCAGCCGGGGCGGTACAGCCAGGGAGCCTTACCTGGCCGCCCCGCCGGGCCCCGCCGCCCCGGCGCTCCTCCGGCCCCGCGGGGCTGCTCGGCGAGCCGGTGACCAGCATGGCGCTGGGGCCGGGGCCGGGCGGTGGGGCCGGGGGCGGGCGGTTGGGACAGCCCGGTCACCCCCGGTCACCCCCGGTAGCCCCCGGTCTCCTCCGGTCGCCCCCGGTCTCCTCCGGTCACCCCCAGTCACCCCCGGTCGCCCCCGGTCACCCCCGGCGCCCCCGGTCTCCCCCGGCCGCCCCCGGTCTCCTCCGGTCGCCCCCGGTCTCCTCCGGTCCCCCCCGGTCTCCTCCGGTCACCCCCGGTCTCCTCCGGTCACTCCCGGTCTCCCCCGGTCCCCCCCGCGCTCCGCAGCGCCCGCGGGACCCGCGCCCGCCACCTTACATAGCCCGGGGCGGGGACACGCCCCCGGCCCGCCTCGGCCAATGGGAGGCTGCGGGCGTGAGCACCCGGCAACAGGCGGACCAATGAGAAGGCGGGGGCGTGGCCAGCGGGCGCACCAGGCACCGTGCGCAGGTTCGGGACCGGCAGTGCCCCGGTACCGTCCTGCTGACTGCACAAGTCTGCTGCTCCAGGAAAGCTCAACAGCCAGGGAAGGCCAATTGCTCAAGATGTGTTACATCAGAGGGAGGTTGGCTGCGGACAGCTCCTGCCTTTTTCACCAGCTGGTGCTTTTGGGCAGCCCAGATTCTCAGGAGAGAAACAGCAGAGACCATATAGGGACACTCTGAAGGAACACCTGGGGCAGGTAACACATGGAATATTGTTTCAGTGTCTCCTGTCCTTATATGCTCTGCTCAAATCCAGGAGCTGGATTGTCACTGTGGCTGGTCACCCCACTACAGACTACAGTGGGAAAACCTGTGTCATTAGGGCTTGGTGGACTCCAAGGAAGCCCAGAGCATTTGTGGGATGGAGAAGGGAATTATAATCATGGAATCATTCAGGTTGGAAAAGATCTTTAAGAGCATCCAGTCCAACTGTTCCCCTAGCACTGGGGGCCACCATCTAACTCTTGTCCCCATATGTTACATCCACACGGCTTTCAAATTCCTCCAGGGATAGGGACTCCCCAGCTTCACTGGGCAGTCTATGCCAGGCCTGGACAGCTCTTTCCATGGAAGAATTTTCCCTAATATCCAATCTAAACCTTCCCTGGCACACCTTGAGGCTGTTTCCTCTCATTTCCTCTGCAGCTGCACTGTTCAGAGGCGTGGAGGGAAGGTGACTCCCAAGGTGATCCTGGCCCACAGGAGCTGCCAATGCTCCATCAGGATTTCTGCACTGCAGGCAGATGGATGTGGCTTCAGCAAAAAAAAAAAAAAACCAAAAAAAAAAAACCAAAACAACAGTAGAAACTGTGGTTTGTACAGGTCAGTGATCCTCATTGCTCTGGGAGTAGCAGCAGGGGGGAGCTGCTAACCCCATGTGCTCCAGGAGACTAGATATGAATAAGGAAAATGGTCAAAGCTAAAACCCTTTTAAATTCCCGGACCTCCAGAGATTTCCTTGGAAAAAGATGAGGGGCAGCTGAATTTTCTTCATGGAAATCTCACAGGAAAAGGGAAAACCTCCATGCCAAGGAAGCAGGTCTTTCTGTCTGTGTCAGTTGTAGCCCTTGCCTCGATCAGCAGCCGGATGGGTCCTGGGAAGCTGGATGTAACCAAGTAACCAGGATCCTAGCAACAGGCTAGATGGGAGGATTTAAAGATAGAAAAAAAAGTAGGAGCAAAGCAAACAACGGGAAAATATTTTCTCATTCCCCGAACTCCCAGCCCTAGAGCAGGAGATAGATCAGCTCCAGGCAGGGAGAGGTACTTTGGTTGTTTTGTTTTTTACCCTTTTCAAAGCAAACAAAGTAGCAGTCACAGATGAGGATTTTTTAAAACCACTTTTACAGGTGTCATTTGTACAAATCAAAGCGTCCCTTGAAAATCTCATCATTACAAACATACAAAGAAACGATGTTGGTGCTACAAATCAGCTATGCAACGGCAGGAGCAATTTATCACGATTAAAAACCCTACTGAACAGTATTTACAGGGCCTTTCTCCCTCTTTTTATTTCTGTACGTTGAGGGAAGGAATAAAAGCAGAACCCACAGTTAAAAAAACTCCCACCAATGCACTTCATTTTCTTAAAGTATAAAACTGGGTGAGTTTTTGCCACACTCAGGCAAAGTGTAACGATTTCTGGTTTTGCTTGTTTTCACATCAAAAGTCTCTTAGAAAAACCAAAAACAAACGCATGGCAGTGTCTGATGAAATGCGCTCCTTCCATGCCAGAAGCCAACATCATCCCAAAAAAGTGCCTTTGAGTAAAACCAACTTAATAACAAACAGGAAACAAAAGGATGAAAAAAGCAATCACAAGCTCTAGTTAAAAGCTTCATCAAAGCCCTGACGGAGCAGCCGCCCTGCAGCAAAAGCATGAGTTCTCTTACCTACCTTCAGCCCCTGCTCGGGGGTCTCCAAGCCCTGAGATGTTTCTCCGCTCCCTGACTGGCGTTCGGGATGCCGAGGAGCTCCTGCCAGCCCGGAGTTGTGTGGTGCTCCCCCTCCAAGTGCTTTTTATCCACCACCATCACCCCAAAACAGGCACTTGGGGGGATCTACCCCAGCTGGTCTGGCTGTAAAGGTCAGTGGCAGCTGTGCTATTTTGGGGCAGCACATCCCTGGTACAGGGAACTCTCATAGCCCTTTGATCCTGCTGGTTTGGAATCAGCAGTGAAAAAAATCTCTGGAGTGCCCCAAAAAACACTCCCTGGCTCAGGTCGCTGCCTGAGTAAGTGCTTTCCTGGAGCCAACCTGGCCCCTGCATCTGAAGGGGCAGGGAAAGGGGGAAGAGAGGGAATATCCTTACTCTCTGTGTAAAGAAATGGAGTAAGAGATACTTGATCGCACCAAGCTGCAGAAATCATCAAAATCCCAGAGGTCACCACATAACCAGGGCACTGGGTGGGGGGAATTCTGGGTGGGTTGGGGGCTGTATCATTCCACTTTGGCTCCCAGCCCAAAAGCTCTGATCAGAAAAACAAGGAAACACAAAACCAGGCAGTTTGGTTTGCCAAGTTGACAGAGAAAATAAGAAAAAACCAAAACAAAACACAAAAATCTTCCAAGATAAATACATGGCCCCCATTTTGGAAGCATCTTCAAAAAGCTGGATCAACTGTTGTCAGCAGTGGCACAACTTTCCAGGAACACCTGTTGGGCTAGTGAGTTCTCAGCTCTCTTTTGAAGAAGGAACAGTTCAAGGGAAAAAAAAAATCTGGCTCCCACCACACGCAGCTCCCATTTTATCTGCAGAACAACTGGCCGTGGCAATTCCCTCACAGCAGCAGGCTGGGAACCACTAATGCAGCAGGTTCTTGTTTGCTCATGGAAAGGGCTGGCAGTGGTAGCAACTGGTTAGGAAAAGATTTCCTCCAGAAAACAGTACTTCTGGGGGGATTTAGGAAGGCTGGGACCTCTCCCCATGGATTGAAACCGGCCACACAAGCATGCTGTCAGAAGGTAACACGCACCAGGAATTCCCATGGAGTCCACAACACAGAGGTTTGGGCTTCCAGCCATCCAGCAGGTCTCCCGCACTCCTCGGCTAATGCTGGGGAAAGCTCCCAGGCTGGGGGCTTGGCTTTAAGGGGAGGTTATTGCTCCTGACTTCTCAGGCTTTTTGCCTTTTGACAGGGCAGCTGCTTGCTTCAGGAGTTCTCTGTTCTTGGCCTAGAAATGGGCAAAATGGGTATTTAGTGGCATGGATCACCATTAGCTCTTGGGATCCCTGTGCAGAAGCTGCTGACATCCTGCACACAGGTGGAAAGGGGGGCAGAGATTGAGCTCACCTCTAACCTCCTAGAGAGGGCTCTGCCATCCCAGCCCCACAGGAAAAGACAAAGACAAAATTATAGAACCCACAACACCGCTCAAAAATTAATCATATGAACAGTTCAAAGCACCTACAATACACTGAGAGGATCTGAACCTTGATTTTGCAGTCTTTTAAAAGGTTTTCAGAGACTCAACCAATACCAGCAGAAATAAAATGTCTGGACACCAGAGAGTTCAGGGCAGTCCCAGCCTGAGCGGAGCACAGACATGGAAAGCCCCAAGAGAGGGAGGTGGCTGGTGCACACCTGCTCCTGGACCTGATGCTCCTTTACCTTCAGAAACAGCACATCCAGCCCTCTCCACACCACATTCCAACATTCCAGCTTTCAGCCAGGCAGAAGGACATGTCCTGTGAAGGGATTCTCGCAGGCACCAGCACTCTGACAGCAGCTGGAGGCCTCGAACCTGCCTTCCACTGGGATACTTCCCCAGAGTGGGTGTGGATGGAGGACGGGCTGTTTCCTCAGGGGCAAAAGAGGCCTTTTGTTTTATCCCGTCCCACTTCTCATTGCTGGGGCTTTAGATCTTTATATACCCAAAGTAATTAAAGGGCGCAAAGTTCATTTCTGTGTTTCATTTCTTCCCCTTTGACCGGATCCTTCAGTGGCTCAAGCTATTCATGCTGATAGTCTGCTGTGTTTCCACAGCCATGACAAGAATCCTGCTCTCTCTGCACCCATCAGCTCAGATACTTCTTTATCTGGACTAGAGATACAGGGCAAAAAGAACTGCCAATTGTTCCTTTGTTCTCTCTGGTTACTGCTCACACAAATCACAGGGAGGTGATTTAGAGGTTCAGGGAGCTGACAAAGGTTCTGCAGACAGGAGAGACAGGTTCAAACTTGATTTTGGCAATAAGTAAAATGAGTTTGATGGCTCCTGTCTAGTCCATAAGGGACACAACGTAGCACTTTACAGCACAGTAAGTGTGAGCCTGAGTAGAAAGCAGCAAGGTAGGTGTAAATGGTGGTTGGGATGCAATGCAGAGCTGAGGAGGGGCTTGCCTGGCAGCATAGAGGCTGTAGGACAGGGCTTAGAAACATTAGCAGAGCTCAGTGTGCAGGAGCTCACAGGGTATTCTGATCAGGAGCGCTCTCAGTCACTCCTGGATACAACACAGCTCAGCAAATTAAACTGACAATGCTCTCACCTGTAACTGCTCCATGACCTCCTTGTGCGTCTTCTCCATTTGGTTCATCTTTGCCCTCATCTGTGATTCCTGGTACTGCAGGTCGGCTTTCAGCTCCGTGATCTGCGCAGAAACCAGGAAGGAGCAAGTGAGCTGGAAGAGGCAACACCACAGACTGCCCTCTGTGCCACAGTGCCCTCACCACAGACCCCCCTGCCTGGAAAGTGTCTCTACACAAGGTGTGTGAGACTGGCTGAGGTCACAGACGTGCTGCTGGTGCTGAGGGACTGCAGTGAGACCAGAACTGTTTCACGGAGAGCACAGAGCAACAGCAAGGGCCAGCACTGCATTTCTCCAATCAGCAGCGTGTTTGCTCCCAGTCTTGCCCACATACAGAGGTCTCCAAGAAAGCAGTCAGGAAATGACCCTTTATGAAATGAGACCCCCTGGGTGGGTCCAGAGAGCCTCTTTGGCTTTGGAAAGGAGGCAGCCTGGAAACAGCCAGACATGTTAACTCCAAGATAAAAGCCAGGCTGTGTCAGAGTGTGATCTCTGAGAACATGTCAGCCTGCTGGGGGGAAGCAAGCCAAGGACTGTACCTTCTTCTCCTTCTCCAAAATCATCTGATCCTTCTGGTGAAGCATCTTTTTTAAAGTAGCCACTTCCTCTTTCAGCTGGGCAATGATGACAAAGTGGTCGGTGCCAGGGGAGTCCAGGGCGAGGTCTGGAGAAAAACTGCAGCAAAGAACAGGGAGAGGCCCTCAACAAAACCCTCCTCTTCACTGAGGCATGGAACCTCCCACAGATGCACTCAAGGGAGAATGGGAATCATTTCATGATCATTCATGATCCTTTTTCAAACCAGAAAGTTGAAGACAGCAATCTGAGAGATAATTAAACTTTATGCATCCCTTTGGAAATCTCTTTGCTCACAAGTAGTCCTTGGATGCACTGCAAAACTTCCCACTGAATGTAAACAAACATTCTGGCAAGGAGGGGACATGAAAGAGAAACAAACAACCTCCAAGTTCAACAAACAGAGCAAAAGAAAACAGCTAAATTGTCCTGAGCAAGGAAAAGGGGTAAAAAAACGTACTGGACCTTGTAATATGACTCTGCCATGATAAAGCAATTTAGGGAGAAGCTGTACTATTCCAGAGTAGGAAAAACTCTCCAGGAAGACAGAGAAATAGCAGAGCACATCACCTGTACACCACCAGGTACTCCAAATCTAAGCAAGCATCAGCAGTTAGGTGTGCATGAGTCACTGCTGCACTGGTAAATCACAAACCTCCCTACAGACACCCGGTGACACAGGCAGGCACGTGCAGT